AGCAGGCTTATTAATGTCACTTCATGTTTAGCATATACATTTAAAGAAAACTGAAAGGCTGTGTAGAACTGCCAAAAATTCCTAATTAGACAGAAAGTCAGTTTCAGCTCCACGCAATTTGCCCCCAAAGAAACCTCTGTCAAAGCTGACAGTCAACATTATTTTGAATAGGTTGAAAGAGCAACACAGTGCCTTTTAGTTTTGTTTGCTGAATATGTGTTTAGAAAGGGATTTCAGCAGGGTGATTCCATGCTGTGTTAATCAGGTCTCCTGTACCTTTAATAATTCAACAGAAAGGAGAATTTCCATATATACAGCTGTTTCTCTCTGAACTTGGTTGTTTTCTTGCAGATGTTTCATTACTTACACTAGATAACATCATCAGTGATAGCAGGGACTAGCACTGATGATGTTGCCTAGTATGCATAGTGAAAAGTTTGCAGAAAACAAGCATACTCAAAGAACCCCAAGAACCCCTCATTTCAACTCTGAGCTACAAATATCCTCCTTTATTGGAGCCTTTTCTCTTTCTCTGGCTGTGATCCCTGAATGTCCCAAAACAGGTGAAAAGGAGCTAAGGAAGTAAATATTAAAAGATGGGAGGTTGTATGATGAAAATAAAATCTGTATGTAGCTACATATTTGCTACATATTTGAAATGAAACTTATCACTTCAGCTATGACTTTTGATGTAAAAGAGTAGGCCTTCACCTTACTGTTAATCCATTTTTACAAATTTTGGGCATTTTGCAGGGAGACAGAATACACTGCAGCTCTATGATAACTTCCTTATTCACCACAGAAATCAAAACAAACCTTAGATGACAGGATTAGCATCATATTTGCATCTAATAAAAAGGATACTATGTTAGCCAGCTGGTTAACAGCCAGCCAGAAAGCTATTCTCTTTCATTGTTCTAATTTAGCCCAATTAAAGAGAAAAAAAGTCACTCTAAGGTGGGCATTTTAGAAGCACAGTACAGTACAGTAAGTGCTAAATTCCAGTGATGTGGGAAACTAAATTGTTTGGAGCCAGGACAAGGCAAGAATTCACACCAGTAGGAAACTGGCTGTTTTCAAGCTCCAGCATTTCTGCTGAAGAACTGTGCTCGTGTGAATTTATCCTATATCATGGAGAACATAGTTCCATGGCTTTGCTGTCCAAAGGCAATGACAGTATGTGACTGCATAAATGCAGAGCTGATCTGGAAGCGGCACAAATATTGCATGTCAAGTGACCTGAGTATCACCACTGAATAAGAGTTGAATCCAGATTCTCTTAACCCTGCTGCAGCTTATTATTCACTTAAGTGGCTTCTCTGAGTCTGGTTCCCTTAACTAAAATAATAGCTATCATTTCCCCCAAAATTACTCAGCATAATAATCTATCCTTTGAAACTGCAGAGGAGGTACGACCGCGTCTGCTACTGTCTTATAGTGCTCCAAATCCCAGCCTCCACCTCCAGATTTTAGGCATAAGACTCACTTAAGAGGTCGTGAGGAACTTGATCTGACCATGGTGACTCATGTCAGTGGACTGAAAAGCTTTCCTCAGAAGTTCTCGTGGGGCATAATGTCAGATAAGAAAAAAGAATTTTATTGTTTACAAAAGACAAATGCAATGAAGCATTTGACAAATAATAATGACAAATAATCTATACTTCGTATACAGACTTTAAAAACATTAATTCTCAGTTATACCGTCTGCCTGTTTGTACTTAAGAAAATAATATTAAAGTCTCCAGTGCACCCTGAATTATGCATCCTGCATACTGGAGGACAGTGGAGAAATGGGATGATCTTATCTTTTTGTGCTATCTTATTTTATCATAAGAAAAAGAAAATAACTGGCCCATGAATCAGCTTTAGAATTGTTCAAGCAATTGCACCTTTTATTGTTCTGGTACAGCAGGTGGCAGCATAGAGCTAAACATGACTGGTCCTTAAAAAGCCAAGCAGGGTCTGACTTGGTTGGTACTTGATTGGGAAACTCTGAGGGATCCCAAGGCTATATGCTAGATTAGGAAGTGTATCCTGAAAGAAGACAATGCTAACCGCTTTATATTCTTACCAAGGAAACAATATGGAGTTACAGGACTCAAGTTTATCTTGAAGGAGTCTTTACTTTTTATCTTTTCTTCTTCACATTGAGCAAGAGCTGCATGGATTGCAGGGCTTGGAGGTGGGTGGGCAAATGTGCAAATGCTTCCATTTGGCGTACCTGCATCACATTTAATTGTACATATATTCCAGAGATCCTTCTCCCTCTCTCACATCCCTACCCTTCCCGTAATCTTCTCAACAGGCCTAAAAAAAAATATGGCTGGCTTCATGCAGCCAATAGGGAAAAGAATACAGTCCTTTATTTTCCAGTAGCCAACTATTCCACTGAATACTGGGGAATGTGGATAGGAATCCTTGAACCTTTGAGCTCTGAAACTCTGTGAAAGATGCTGCTTTTCAGGTGTTCATGGCATAGTTTTAATAAGAAGTGGGAGAATTCCACTCGGGGGCAAGAACTCTTATGTTCATGTTAAATGGATGTGCACAATTTGTGCCGGACAGTAATACATGTGTGAAATCTGAAAAGTTTTGCAGTGGTGAAGGTGATGATGATTCCTAAGGTGGGATGCAATGGCTCAGAGGTTAAGATTCTGAGCTTGTCTTTGAGATCTCAGTGCTGCACAACAGGCTGAGCTCACGTTACTCAACCTCAGCTCCTGCCTAGCAGTTCGAAAGCATGCAAATGCAACTAGATAAATAGGTATTGCTTTAGCAGGAAGGTTACTGCATTCCATATTTTCATGCTGCCCACATAATGATGGAAACATCTCAGACAATGCAGGCTCCTTCAGCTAAACATTGGAGATGAACACACTCCCTTGAGTCAGGGGAAACCTTTAAACTGCTAAATGGACAAATATATTTCCTCAACTGTATTGGAACACTTGAGCACTTCTCATCTGATTAGGAAGGCATTTAAATGAAAAATGTTAGGGAGTAAATATGCTGGGATTCCTATAAAAACATTGAGATCACATGCATGATTGAATATTAAAAAGAATATTTTGAAACAAAGATGCACTTTCTTGTCTTGGGCTTTCGTTTATTTTATGTTTTAAAGGGTATTCCGACATTAAATCTAAGACCCTTCTTATGGGAAGGATTGGTTTCCAATGAAAGTTTCATCTCATATATTCAACTCACCTTTTATTGAATGACAATTTTATTTCTGTCAATGGATGTTCCTATTCAGGGACATGGGTATAAAGAGGCAATCCTTCATGTAACCAAATGGAATTTGATAGAAGGCTTTGTATTTTAAACATAGCTCTGCTGACATTTTTCTTAATGGCTCTGAGGATTAAACTCTACTTCCTGCCATATATCTTGCAGCAAGTTCTGTATTTCAGCAGATAGAATAAAGTTCAGTTCAAGACCTTATTTGACATTCACACAACCATAACTCTCCTTTTCGTAAAACTCTTGTTAAGTTTTCTGCTGATGCTGCATTGTGCTAGGCCAAGAAGGCGGGGAGGGGGGGCAGGGGGAACCACTAAGACTAACTCATGAGCATGTGCTCCTGGGTTTCATTCACCAGCTGGATCACTAATTATACATTGCCAACAAAAGGGCGAAACTTTGCATGAAATATATGTGTGCTAATTTACATATGTGACACATCTTTTGAAAGAACATTTATTAGTGAAGCAAAAAGCCACTCAAAGTTGCTGTATTAATGAGATGGGAACATAGAAATTTAATAAATAATTATACATCTACCGTTGTAGGGGAACATTGTGATTAGGCTTTTTGTGTGTTAGCTCAATTTGTTCCCCGGTGGTACCTTTGGATGATAGGCTATATTAAGTTAGTGGATTTGCCTCAGTGCAAGAAAAGTCATGCTGACACCTTGAAAAGGTATTGTAGAGCTAAAAAAAAATCGATGAAAAGGTCAACCAAAATAATTAAGGAACTGAAGTAATTCCTCTGTAAGTTTCTCCCCTGAAAACATATGGTACTAATATAATATATAATATAATATAGTGGAAATAACCTCTTTAGGGTTATTCTGGCCCTTATCAATATTATATTTCCTTCACTGTAATGCTCACTCAATGAAGTTTTCTTTGAATAATGATTTTGACAGGATCGGTTTAAAGTGTGTCTTTTCCCATATATACAAATGTATGACTGAAGAAATCTGTTAAAGTTGTTACTTTAGATACCTTTTTTCTTTTTTTTGTAATTCTTCACTTGTTTTACCCTTTTAGAATCTTTTCTATACAATTTATGTTTCTGTAGTTTTTAAAATCTTTGTAAAATCTTCTTTTAATTCAAATTATTAAAAAAAACCTAGGTTATCAACATTTGTAGATTTGGGGATTGAAGATTATTTTTCATTATTTTTAACTTCATTTCTATTATAAAGTTTGTTTTTTAGTTTTTCCTGTTATTACATGAACATACTATGTAATATATGGTAACAGAATTTTAATGTTAACGTGGTACTAAAAATTAAGCACAAGGAATCCATTTGTAAACTAGTAACCAGTTTTGTAATATTGATTCCATACATTTAACCCATCTACATCCATGGATGGGGGGGGGTCACTTTTTCTCAGTTACTTGTTTCTGCCAATCTGTCTGGTTTTCTCCTCGATTTTGATTTTTTTAAATTATTTGAATAAAATTTACATTTATTTTTGGGTGAACTATTAAGATTTTTTCCTCTTTTTAAAATTTGTGCAATAATTAGGGTTCCCCCATCCATCCTGATGTCTTTCTAACGGCTCCATTTTGGCTGTAATGCTGGCAGTAGTTATCACCTAAGCAAAGTGTGTTTATATTATATGAAGATATGGAAATGGCTTAATTTTGGATGTCAATAAACTCTTGACATCATCCCTCTACAAATGGAAATCATGCTTATCATGCTGCATTTATCTGTACAACTAAATTTTATTTGATTTTTTTATGTGTATATATTTTTATTGCAGTTTACTCTTCACAAAAATAAAACTGGAATTAATACATAAAGGACCGGAAGAGGCTTTAGTGACCTGTAGACATATGTTGCATCAGTGGCAGATGTTGTATAATGTTTCGCAACAAAGGTAGGCTTTTCTTTAAATTAAAACTGGATTTTCTTAAAATGGAGATGCAGAAAGGGTTGTCTGGGCATGGGAGTTCATATGCCTAGGGCAGTTTCATACCCAACATTTCATGAACAGCTGCAAAATGTCAGCCATATTGAATCAAGCCACTGCTTGCTAATCTAGCATTCTGTGTAACGTAGTGGTCAGCCAGAACATGCAGGGACTTTACAAGCATGGACAGAGGGCAATAGTGTTCTACTATTACTCCTCAGTAGCTGGTATGTAAGGAATGCTGTGATTCAGGAGATAATATTCAACCATTAGGAACAGTAACCACTGATAGGCTTATCATCCATGGTATTGTTTATTTAAACTAGTAAGATTGGTCTCTAGTCTAAGCTTTGCAAAGAACTGCCTTTCACCGATCCTGAATCATTCCTCTTTTAAGTTTCAATGGCTGAGTTTTAACACTATGACAGGAGGAGACAAACTTCTGTCTCTCCATACTTTCATAAGTTATTCCATTTCTCCATATAATCTTTATTCTATTTGCCACTTTAAAGCACATTCAGCCAATTTTGAAATATAATGTAGGAGCTCTTCACATCCTTCATCAGTGTTTCTATTCTGAATGATTCTGTGTCATCAACAGAGTTGTCTATGTTATTGTTCACCCCTTGAACAAATTAAAAAGTAGAGATCCCTGTGTTCAAGAAGTCTAGGTCAGTCTAGCAAGCTAGCATTTGTTTGTAATTGAGTGTGTGTGTGTATGTGTGTGTGTGAAATATTAGTCCATCATGTGAGAACACCACACCTTTAATCTGTGATATATTTCCTGTAGGAGATCAGACATAAATAGTGATTCCATCAACAGCAGTGCCATCATTGTGGAAATGAGTCAATATTGACTGTAACAAGGAATAGAATCCAGAAACAAGATCATCTTAGCAGCCTGAAATTCTTTCAAGAAACCAAGCTGATTGTCTTAAGAATAACTTTGCCACTTGCTTGCAGCCCAATCACAGCTTCCTGAAGGGATGGAGATTATCTTGGTGATCACAACCTAATTAAGAAGAGGGACACTTCCCTCTACTACCTCATTCTTGGTTCTATTGTCAATCAGCATAATACATTATCTGCTCAAAAACCAGGCCAGCTTGATTTAACATACCAAGGAATGGGAGCGGAATGAGTAACTCAGTAAAGAGATGGACCTGCAGTAGAATGGCAGCTGGGAAGGAAGGAAGGAAGGAAGAGCTCCATACTGACTATCTAGTTGTCCTGATGGTGAAAAGATTAGCACCATAGTGACATTCCCTTGGTCCATATGTGAAGCAGTCACAAGTGTGTCTAGTACACGATTCTCAAAGACGTGAAGCTATCTCTACCACCAGATGATCAAAAAAGTTTTTTTTTTCTTTTTTGCATTATGTTTAAGCCTAAATTGGCAAACATATATGTGAGCCAACTGGCTAGGAGACATTATTGTGAGTTATTAGCTTGTCTAAACGTTTTCAAAGCTACCATTCAAGGCACTGATAATCACCTATAAAGCCCAAAATGGCATAGGCCAGGCTTGTGGGACCAACCTTTCTTTCATTGTTTCTGGTCACCCCACCAGATTTAGTAGAGAAGACATGCTATGGGCCCCTTCTTTCAAACTATGCTATCTTTTTGGAACTTGGAGTTGTGCTTTCTCAGTAGTAGCACCTGCCCAATTGAACAGCATCCTCCTAAAGATTTGGATGGTGCCAGCCCCATTAGCCTTTTTGTAAGGAAGAATTTATTATTGAAGATCTGCCTGTTTCCTTAGGCATTTGGGGTGTTTTGATGGTTCTGGTATTGTTCATGCACACACACCCCACCGCTGCCCCCTTGTATGTGGGGTTATTATTTATCCTTGGGTACCTGTGATTATATATTGTAAGTTTTTCTGCCTTTTTAATCCTTATAAGCCAGGGGTTTCAAAATGACAGCCCAGAGGCTGAATACATCATGCGCAGGCCATACCCACCCTGACTCTGCAAAGGCAAAAAATGTCACAATTCTTCACGATACGTCACATTACGCAATCAAGTTTGACACCTGTGTTATAAGCCATGCAGATTCACTGATGAGATGGATGGCTATATAAATCATTTAAATAAGTAAATACCTGATTAAGAACAGCAATTCAATATAAAAGTATTGTTCTTAAAGAATGCATATTGTTGTTATTGAATTCAAATTAAAGCATCCTTATTGTCTAACTTCCATTGGCACCCATCCAAGAAAGGATGTCTGTCCTCTGTCTGGATAACTTATTCTACTGTCCAGCTGCTTTTTTTTTTTTTAATGATGTTTAATCAGAATCTGCTTTTTTGCAATTTAAATCCATTATTCCATCTCCTATACTTAGAATGAGAAGAAAAAAAAAGGTTGTATGTCTGCACTGCACCCACTTAATACTTATAAATCCTGGAGTGGATTTACAAGCATTTTAGTAGGTTCAGGATTCCTGCCTAAATCTAAATATAGACGCCTGAGTAAGAGACCTGAAATTTGTAGAAAACATTAAGCATCCATAAGCAAGCATTGAAAGATATGTCACTTTATATCACTTGGAAATGAGAAGGGAGGCAATATCATATAACCAGCTGTCTCTAAGAACTGGACCTTGGGAAATAACCATCATGGTTACCAAGTCTTGTTTGGAGAATAGCAGGATCCCAGGGATCACCCCCACCCCGCCTTCCAGAGTGAAGACTTCCCAATGCTGCTTTATTCCAGTGATAAGCCTGAAAACTTAATGCAGATTGCCATTTAGAATTCATTATAGCTTTGCTGGATTGCAGATCAAGGCAAATGGACAGACCAGAACTAAATCTGAAGTCACTGCCATCTGCTGGGTATATTCCATGGAGAGCACACATCTTATCAGATCCTTGCACTCAGGGAGGGAGGGAAGGAGGGAGGGAGACAGGGAGCTGGACAGAGATGTCAGGACACTTACACAAGCCCATAGAAACAGCTCTTCAACATTTTCTTTCTTACAAAATGCTACCAACTGATATAGTAGCAGAGCTTGCTTGTTGTTCTCTTTCATTGATGTTGCCTGTTCATATCAAAGAGTGATAAAGTACAATACACCTACTTGCAGACAAATGTTCCTATTTAATACCATACAATAATGACATTCTTAATGGGTTATTTACTGATCTTGAGTAGTAGTGAATAAAAATGGAATGCTGTACATATCAGCATTCATTCATGCCCTTGTGATGAAAGTAACTTCCTCTACTCGGGAGGTCTTCAGGGTGGATTATGGGGCTTGAAATCCAATACATTATTCATTGGTAGTATTAACTGATGGATTTTATTTCTGTACCGTGCTTCCTCCCAGAGGACCCTGGAATGGTTCACAACAAATGGTTGGTTTATTAGGATGGCTTGACTTAAGATTATTATTAAGTGAAGCCATCACAATAAGCCAGCCATGCTTTAAAATGTTGAATACTGAAACTAAATTCAAATTAATTCTAAAAGAACAGAAAAGCAAAATACAGGCAATCTAACAGACCATCTGGTCCTAGAATCATAGTTATCTTACATACGCCTGGGTTAATAGGGATTGTTTTTTGAAAGAAGACAGATGGGACAGGTTAACAAACTGGATTACAGTAATGTACTCAAACTTTATTTGTGTTGAATGCTACTGACACAACAAGCTTGAGCTAACGACATATATATCATAATTACAGTGTTAATGTAATTAAAAACTATTTAATCTGAAAGCTCAATTCAAGGAGCAAGTTTTGATATCAAACCCTAAATGACCTTACTTCAGATGATTTTAGGAAGTATCTCTTCTGCCACTATACACACACGAACACATATATTTAAGAATGACTCATATAAGCTCAGATATGGCTAGCTACACCCCAACGGGAAGTATATTGTAAATGGCTTTTCTCTCTTCTCTTTCTAGAAATCAATATTAAGATCCTTTAATGAGATTCAGATTTAGGTATATTTAAGGCTGGACCTATTGAAATCAATGTCCCTCATATTAAATTAAGGCTAATTGTTTTCAATGGAAATACACAAAGTATTACAGAGTTTGTGGGTCCAACTGGTTAGATGTGTTGGTGTGCTTTTTAAAGTCTTGCTTTTTTTAATTTAAAAAGAACATTCTCAATTATGATGTTGCATTATAGTATATTTATATGTATATGTCTAAAAATCTTACTAAAATAACTATGGTTATGTAGTATTAGAGTTATTCTTTCTCTTACCTTCACAGAATTGTTGTTGGGGAAAAATGGGTAAAAGTGGGGGGAAAAGAAGTGAATGCCATCCCAAGTCCTTTGGGATACAGATTCAATAAATAAACATTGCATATCAGTGCAAACATACCAACTTCATACTTAAAATATCTCCTAGAATTTTATTTATTAATAGCAAAAGCAGTATCCAAGGTTTTTTTCCCCTTTAGTTATATAAACAAATCTTAATTTCTAAGCAGAAAATGCATTTCCATTCTAGGAATGGCTGCTTTTTTGCTGCTCTCAAAGGCCTTACGCAGCACTACTTAGCTGGTGGAAAAATACTGCAGATAATTTCCAGTTTAGTTGCCATCCAACCCACATGCAATCAGTCCCCTCTATTCAGATTAAAGCAAGAAGACATACTGCTCAGTTGAGCTATGAAAAATATATCTTGATGTTTGTTTATTTATTAAACATCAGCAAATATAAACATAATTAGATGGCAACAGGGGACAAAAGGCAGCTAAAAAACAGAGGGAGGGGGAGAGAGAGAGAGAAGGAGAGAGAAAAAGATGAACAAAAGGCAAAAGATAAAAAGCACAGGGGACTTAATAACCACAAATTACATTATCTATATCATAGCAAAAGGACAGAACTTGTCAGAGACATGGGAAACAATACCGTGGGTAATTAGCAGAAACTAGTCTTTGATTATTCCAGACTTAACTTTTTTATGTACATAAGAGCAGCACAATAGAGATGGAAAGTAGAACACCAGGTGATCCATTCTCTATTCTGCACCATGAACGGAGCAATTTGGTTCATGAGAATAATCAGGGCGCCCACTCACCAGGCAGCTCTGGGCAGCTGACAAGGCTTAGAATACTCATGTACAAAGCTTTAGAGATGAAAGAGAAAGAAGATTCAGTCTACTTTAGAACATGGGATAACTTCTACCAATGGTTAGGAAAACAAACTAGTGAGAAACAAATGTGATATGTTATTTTGAATACATACTAGTAAGAAGAATGTTATGCATTGATTAATTAATATTGCCTATGATAATTATACTCACTACACTTATCTATTACTATACTAATAGATAACTACAGTTATCTATTACTATACTAACTAATAGATAACTACAGTTATCTATTACTATACTAACCCCAATGCTGACCCCAACCCTGTCCTAATCCCAATCCTGACCCCAACCCCACCCTAAACCCCAATCCCTACCCCGACCCTATTTTATCCCTAACCCTATAAAATTCAATAAAAAATTTAAAAAAAGAAAAGAATATCATGTACAAAGGAAAATGATAAAAATGACAAAATATAATGAAAACATTCTATGCCAAACACAACCCATAGTTAGTTATAAATCTCTCTGTGTTGAGATAAGTAACAAAATGCTAGGATTGAGCCAGTGATGACTAGTATAATTTTGTCTTCAGTCAGTTTTCCTCATTGGGGTGGAGAAGAACAAAACTCTCTACACTAGGAAGAGATCACATTTTCCCTACTTCACAAGTAAAAAAGAAGCAAATGGTCAGATTTTCCGCAGCAGAAGCCACTTTGCTAAAACCTATCTGATTAATCCAAGTGCATCGATCACCACTGACATCATCATCCTGCCTTGGCAGTTTGCTTTATCAAAATTTTCACACAGTATGGCTTGTGACACAACAAACTTCTGTCTTTACTGCCTGAGTAATTTTGACCGCCACTATGTCATATGCCCCCACATTTCAGCTTTCAAAGTTGATAGATGCTCATTTTCTAGGACTGATTATTACTATTATTTAAATTTCTCCCATCTTTCTGCAGAAGCATTTCCTTTTCCTTTGATTCCCCACAACAATTCTGTAAAGTAAAGTTGGATTGAAACAAAATAATGGGCCCAAAATCACTCACTGAATCTTCATGATTGAAAGTTGGCTAGAACCTGGGTCTCCCAAATTCTAGTCCAAGCCCCCATCTACTACGGCGTTCTGGCTCTAGCATATCCCCTGCCTTTTAAGTAAATTGTAATTAACATGTTTATCCTGTTGTTCTTTTCCAGTGATTCAGAAAAGGCAAACAGTTTGATTGAGATAGTACCAGCCAAGAAGAATAATAACGTGTATCTTACTCTACCTGATGCCCATGATAACGATTCCGGTAAGAGAAACAAAAGATATTAATGGATGCCCTAAATCCAGTGTGAACAATCACATATAAATAGATTTCATTTTTTAAATTCAATGCATTCTGCCATACAAACGTCTTATTCCCTGCTAATATGAGGAATGCCTTTATTTCAAGATTTTATTATATTACCCTGTTAGTGATAGCAACATTTTTGTGGATAGAAAACTAAAAATAGATCAATGTTAGGTCAATGTTCTCCAATTTGACACAGTATGTTGAATTATATATCTCATAACCAGCAGCCAATATGTGCTGTATGTTGTATCAGTTGCCTTTGATGGCTCTATATTGCTTCCATCGCCACAGACAATATACCTCGGTGTCAATAAATACTCATTTCCTGAGTGTGAGATTTTTATAGGCATTGTTTCACTGTTACTAGACTTAATTCTGGATTAGGAAAATCTAATCTAGCAGAATTCTTTCTGTGTTCTCAACGAAGTTCCGAGGAACATTGTTGCAATAAAAGTATAGCTACACCATGGATTTATGAAATATTGTCTTTTTCACCCATGTCACCCAGGAATAAAGAAATTGCAATTCAGTATTATTAAAGGCCACATCTGTCTATTTTATAATGCCACATAGATGCTGAATTGGTTAAAATGGCTGGCTGACTTGCAGACATAGCAGGAATGTGCAATTAAATTACAGAAGTGTGTCAGACAGATTCTCTCTACATAATCAACCTTGTAGCTTACCTTGAAGACATGATAATCACATCCATAAATTCAACCCATATTCATATAGAGCAAGCAACAGTTACTAAATAAACTGTTGAATAAAATCTTATTTTTGATGGACCCCTGATCAAGAAATTATGCAAATAAGTGTTCACATGCTCAGAGATGTAGCTATTTGCAAAGTGCCCCACCAGAAAGCTGATGTCAGTTTAATGAAGATGTGAAAGGTCAGTGACAAGCCAAAAGTAGTACTTTATTTTCAACTGATTGTTGCTGTTTGTGAATTTGACACATCTTCAGTAAAGAGATTAGTGGGAATATAGAGTATAGAGTGAAGTCCAGGGAAGCAAGGAAATTGTGTATATTATGGCTTCAGCAATTAATCTCAGGGTTTCCAAGTTCCAGTACAATGGTAGAAAACTTTGAGGTCCAGATTGACTCTTCATGATCTTTCATTACTCTTTAGAATGATTAAAAAAATGGAGAAAATTATTCCAAGGGCTCCTTTTCTTGGGTTCTTGTGTCCAGATATTCAATGCCAGAAAGAACTCTTAATTTTGTTCCTCTCAAGGCTATTTTCAGGAGACTGGAACCTACAGGAGAAAAACTGTTCTTTCCTAGAAGGCAGAGGCAAGACTGATGACATTTATTCTTAAGAAACAGGATGCAGTTTTGTTTTGCCCTTGCATTCTTAATTTTTTTCTGGTGGCTCCATCTCTCCAGTAACTGAAATTATTATTGCACAATTGAGGTAATTTTACACAATAAGATTATAAGAGTTGTGATGTCAGGAAAAGAAATCTATAAATGCAAGTAAATGCCAACTGAGCAAATGATTCTTGGCATAGTTACGTTACTGAATGTTATATTTGAAGTTTATTTGATTTCAAATAGACAACTTGCCTTTTGATCAGATGGCTTTTAAGTCTATTTACAACAAACTAAGAGGACAGAAGAAAGCCAGTTGGAAGATAGAAAAAGCCAAGCCTTGATATGTTTCCTAGAAATGAGCTAGCTACTGAAAGCTTAGGATCATAAATTCTGCAATAAGCCTAAGGGGAATTTATGTGTATTCATGAAGTGTGGTTTCATATTGCCCTAGGTATAGTTCAGGGGTAGGCAACCTTGGCTCTTTTATGACTCGTGGACTTCAACTCCCAGAATTCCTGAAGTCCACGAGTCATAAAAGAGCCAAGGTTGCCTACCCCTGGTATAGTTATACTGAGATATGAATAGGCTCTTCTTATCCAGGCCATGCGAAATGTGCTTGCAGCAATCATGAAGCCTAGGGAGAGACTGGGGAAAATGAAGACCTTGACATTCCCCAAATCCTCTGGGCACCATGTTTGTTTTCTGGGATATGTCTCCATGATTGTAGGCATAAGGCACAATTTGTCCAATATTAAACAATATTCTTCATGTAAAGGATGACATACCACTATCCGATGATGTCACGTTTCAACTTATTTCATATTTGATAGAAGAAGTTTCTCTTTTTTTGCTTAGGAAGGCTGTATAAAGAAGAATTTTAGCTTCAAGGGATATTTGGTGGGCTACTTGTCATAGGACAAAAACATATCTGTGGTTGAACAGTAGTCAAAATGAGTAGTCTAAGATTCTACCTAACCACAGTAAAAGAAATTGTAGTTCACAAGTTTACAAACGCTAAATTCCTCTCAGAATGTGGTGATGCAATCTGTGTTCTTAGAAACCTGCAAAGTATGTATGTATCTATGTATCTATGTATCTTATCATAGGGTAACTCTGGGTGGCTTATGATTGTAAGCTACCCAAAGTTACCTTATGGTAAGATACATAGATATCCAGTTTAGATAACTGGATAGCTAGCTAGGTAGGTAGGTAGGTAGGTAGGTAGGTAGGTAGGTAGAGCTGGAGGGAGGGAAGGAAGTGGGCGCAGGGTCGGGGGGGGGATCTGTTGTTAATCACCTCTACTGTAATGCTCCCAATTGGTCTTTAGGCTCTTACAAAAGGTCAGGAGGGTTGGGGCCAACCCCACATAGGGAGGCAAAATGTTCCAGCAGACAGATGCAGTGGCAGAGAAGGCCCTACTCCTGGACCTACTAACTGGAATAATTGGGCCAACGGGACCCACAGCATGCGTCCTTTGCCAGCACAGGTGGGACAAGCAAAGGAGTCATTCAAATAACCTGGCTCTATGCCATGAAGGGCTTTAAAGGAGATTATCGACACTTTTAAATACATTCAGAAGCAGACTGGCGGCCAATGCATCTCATGGAGGAGTGGTTTTACATGGGCCCTTCTTTGGGCCCCGTGCCACTGCACTCTGCACCAGCTTTTGAATGTTCTTCAAGGGAGCCCCATGTAGATACACTATAATAGTCCAACCATGAGATGACTAGGGCCTGAATGACTAAGTGCAGGGGCTTCTGATCCAGGAAAGGCAGCAATTGGCACACAATCTGAAGTTGTGCAAGGACTCTCCTAGCAGCAAATGCCACCTGCTCTTCAAGCAGGAGTCATGGGTCCAGGAGAACCTTCAAGTTGCAGACCAGATCTATCAGGAGTAGAATCAAAGATGACAAAGTCCTGGATCTCGGGGCAAGCCATTCAGTCTATATACCAATTGGGACCAGCCTTGAAGAAAGGAGACAAACCAGGGCAAAACTGTGCCACCACCCAGCCCCAGCCCGTAGATGGCCCACATTTTCCAATCTGGCATCCTCATTGGCAATGGCTTTCTAAGCTTCTGGGCATAGTTCCCTTTCTTATGTTTGCAGTCTTGAAATTTTAAAAATTGCATCTGGGACTGTTCATACCTACAGACTGTCTGATTGCTCCCTGATACACCATATGAACTACAGTTTAAATTGTAAAGACACAAACTCCTAGCCTTTACAATTGCAAAATTAGGGTTTAATGTGTGAGGAAAATATCTGTTGTACAATATACTGCAACCTTAGAATTCTGTTTAACAGGTGCCAGCATTGGAATGCTTGTGAAGATTTTTTAAAAGAAAACAATTCAGAGTACCCCTAGCAGCAGAAACTTTTGGTAATGCTGCTTCATTATTGGTTTGGAAGTACATAAGGACATAAACAATGCCCTGCATTCTGTTCTTGCAATGGCCAACCATCTGCACAAATAAGTCCACTAGTTTCCCAGGAGATGGCCTTCAGAGACAGCCACACTGCCGTCAAGACTAATAATGATTTCTGCTTTAGACCTTTTTCATTAGCCAAATACTATCATTTGAATTACATTGTTAACCTCAATAGCTTGACTATGTGTATTTAGTTGATCATAATAAGGAAATTGCCTCATTGTGAATTTATTTGAATAGTTCATTACAGCATATTTATTTAATCAGTATTCTGTTTCTATATTCCAGGTTCCCAGCGAGCATCTTCCATTGCAGCATCACGACTGGAACAGGCCATGTCAGAGATAACTATGCAGAGTTCTGCCTCAAAGCAAGGGCCTATTCAGCTGTGGACAACTCTTGAACAGATCTGGTTGCAGGCTGGTAAGTTGTATTCATGTGATTATTCATTCTGAGATTCTGACAATCATCTTGGCATAAATACTGTGGTTGCAAAGTATCTTCTACACAGATTTGTATTAGTAAGTAGGCAAAAGTTGGAACAACGGCAATCTTGCTTTACAATCTTCTGGAAGGCCACAGGAAGCCATCTGGTAACTGGATAATTTCATCATAGTTTCTGGGTTTGGGGGAGGGGGGTGTTGGGGGTATGAATAGAAATAGAATTATAGTGGGAAACTTCTTAGAGGAAAGCCACCCCTATCTGGGGGCTTCAGAGCATTTAAAGGAAGAAATGAGAATAGTTTTCAAACTTTAATTTTGGAGAGAAAATCACAGAAAGGTCATAATTATGGAAATTCAGCCATTTTGTCATCGAAATGTGGCAGAATCCTAGGATGATAGGATATTGGAGATTACATGCAAACTTTAGATCATCCATCTATATTATCTTACCTGAGGTCCACATTGCCATCATCAGAAGACAAGATTGGCCTTTAATTCCATGTGTCCCTATATGTTTGGTGAGAAGTCATACACAAAATAAATGCATTAAATTTACAAGAGGCTTAATTTAACATTTATTTCATTTTTAAAAAAGGAGGTAAGCCTGAACCATAGCAGAAAATTGCCATTTTTTTTTAGAAATGTTGAGAATATCAAATATATCTATGAGTTGCCTACCTCTTCTGACAGAATATAATAATAATAATAATGATGATGATGATGATGATGATGATGATGATGATGATGATGATGATGATGATGATGATGATGATTTTATGCCACCCATCTCCCCTATAAGATGACTATGGAGTTGCAGTTTAAGTAATAAGTCCTATGAAGAAAGGCTGGATGAATTAAGTGTATCTATATATTTAATATATTTAATTTTTAAAATATATTTCTACAATGCATTCATATTAAAATATCACAAAGTAATGTATACAAAATGCAATTAAAAAGGAAAAATCTGTCATAACATAAACACAAATACAATAAATTATAGAGCATTTAAAATTGTAGCTGCATTAGTAATCATATTTAGTGTTTCAATTGGGATAGACAGTTTCCATAGAAATCTGATTTCAAATCTGAGGAAAAAAAGGTCGAGGTAGAATCTCTCAACATATTTATAAAATCAAGGACTTAAATCCTTGCTTGCAAATTGCAACAACATCGGTGCTATTTTTCTGGGGAAAATCAAAGTGTATTGACCAACATCGCTTTCCTAAATTTTATGCTGATCTTCCACCTACCATATAGTTAGGTTTGTCCTTATTAGATTTTGCTGTGATCAAGGAACAAGTAAACAATCCCAGCATATTGTTCTGTTCTATTCCAGAGGCAAGTGAGGTTCCTCACCAATGGATGCAATAGAGAGGCAGGCTTCAATTCACAAGGATCAGAGGCTATACAAATTAGACAGATATTTGGAAGATAAAATGTTGCTTCCAGGATTACAGGCAATGTAATGCTGAAGGCTGCTTGCTGGACAAAAACAGTCCAAGAGAATTTTCATCCGAGTATCCTGCTCATCTCTAATGAAACATTCACTAGCTTTTATATCTTGTCTTCATAATCTGGAAACAGAAAGTTCTTGATAAAACAAATCCTAGACACTTTTTTTTGCTGAAAGTTCAATCAACAGCTGTACTTTTTTTTCAGGTTAAAAAGGCCTGAACTAGCAATAAGGAGAACTTTGATCCCAGGTGGTTCATCTGCACTTTAAAAAGCCATTTAACTTCTCAGGACAGAAATCCAATTGTTTCTGCCTGAGTACTTTAGTGACAAGAAGAATGATTTTGACACTGCTTTCAAATGCATTCAGAGTTTCAGATCAGTGTTTTACATAAACCAGCTCTAAGCTTCTTTCCATGTGTATCCATGGCAAGTTGATATGGTTCATCAACAATAAACTGCCAGAACAATAAACTGGTCCCCCCCCCAAAAAAAAGTAACTGCAGATCTGTTCTGCAGAGGACAGGCCATCCATGAAGCACTTGCTGCCATTCTCAGAACCCAGTGGCAAAATAACAATGAAATCTTTTTTCTTTCTTTATAAAAGAAAGCTAGTCTTGAGCCCAAGACTGGTCATCATTTGGCAGGTAAGGCAAGAGGGAGTCACTATGCAATGTGAAGATCTTAGGTTGTTTTCACACAACATGCTACCCACATTTAACTGATTTATTGTTTACTAAACCAACCTAATCGCCTGGGTTCAAAACACCATAGAGCCAACATACACAAAGAACATCTAGCTATATTCAGACAACATATTTATCAGTGATTTAGTTAATAAATGATATTTATGTATTTATATCCCACCTTTTATTATTTTTACAAATAACTCAAGATGGCAAACATATCCAAAGCATGTTCCTCCTCTTATTTTCCCCAGAACAACAATCCTGTGAGGTGAGTTGGGCTGAGAGAATGAGTGACTGGCCCAAGATCACTGAGCTGGCTTTCATGACTAAAGTGGGACTTGAATTCATTGTCTCCCGTTTTCTGGCCTTAACCACTAGACCAAACTTGTTGTCAGACCTGCACCAGTCAAGTCCCTTAGGACAGGGGTCCCCAACCCCCAGTCCGTGGACTGGTACAGGGCCACAGCATGCCAGCAACTGGTCCGCACAAACAAGCAAAGCCCCATCCATGGGATGCAGGCAGTACACAAAACCACACACTCTCCAGTCCATGGGAAAACCTTTCTCCATGGAACTGGTCCATGGTGCCCAAAAGGTTGGAGACCTCTGCCTTAGGAAAGAAAGACCCTCAACTCCATTTGGGTGAAGTTATAGGTTCTTTTACTAATGGTTGCTGGCTAGAAAGTCAGGCTAGAACTAAATTTCTCGTGTGAAAAGTTATGAATTTTTCCACTCATCCCAGCCCTCCCCCCCATGATCAGTTCATCTTTAGCCAATGAAGAGCCCCATAGGTGTTATGAGAAATGCTAAGATCATTGGGGCAGTCCACATTCCATTCTCAGGGTGTGTGGCCTTGAGTGCTGGCGCAAACTGGTTCCATGCTTCCCTGGTCTTTGTCAAGCTGTCATCCCTCCTCCCTGTTTCCCATCCCATGCATATTTATTGCCCACTTGGCCTCCCCCCCCATGCTTCCTTCTCCCCGGCCTTTGATGGTAGGATGCCAGTGAGGCACCAAGCCAAAGATGGCAGACCTGACACGTATCCAATTTCTTGGGTTCACAAAAGATATTAACCTAAACAAAAAGGAAGATTTGCAAGCATGCTAGGCTGAAACATGGGTGACCAGTTTGATTCAGTGTGTTATGCAATAATAACTTCTGATCCAGATTAGCCAATTTAACCTAGTTTGTCATATGTGCCCAACTTTTTTTTAGTAAAGAAGAATGAATAGCCATCCTGTATTTGTGGATTTATTTAGAAATTCAGGAAAATATTGCACTGATCTCCAATTCTGTTACTGTGAATTCTGAGATAGCGACTATAATCTATAGATCTAATAAGTCTACATCTCAGCTAGTCCTTATGTCTCCAGTCTGGAGGAAGGTCGATAAAGAGGAAGAGGAGGATGGACTTCTCATCCAAGAAGCAGAGCTGCAAGGAATTTAAAGGAATAGCTCCATTTCTTGCAACTGTGCACTGTTGAATAGCCCCAAATGATGAAGATATGGAGAACCAAAAGCCTTGAGAGTCTGGCTAATGGTATAAAGACTGTTACCTTTATATTTGTTTGTTAACTTGCAGAGATGTCTGACTAAGTATTGTTGGAAACAGGATGGCCATCTAATTTATTTGCAGTTGAGTGAACAGGTATCACAAAAATTTAGAGATGGATCTCAAAAATCTTCTAATCAAACCCCTGATCAGTGCAGGATTAGCTAAAGCATTTTAGACTACCTCTGCTTGAAGACGTCAGTGAAAGAGAATGTAGCTCTTTGTGAGGTAACCTATTCCACTAGTAAACTTTTCTTGCCATCTGAAATTCCTCCAAATATCTAACTTCCGTGTAGTTTCGATCCAGTGCTTCTATGTCTGCCCTCCAGGGCAACAGCGAATAAGTCCACTCCTCTTTCCTTTTGCTCTCTGAGGACAACTATCACATTTCTCCGTGATCTTCTCTTCCACAAGCTAAGCATACCAATTCCTCTAACCATTCCGCATAAGATTTGATTTCCAGTTCTCTCATCATCTCTGAACTTGTTCCAGTTTCTCATTGTTCTTTTTAGGTGGCAGGTAAATCCTATCCTGAATTGCAACTTCTTGGTTTGGGATGTTGTACAGGTAGTCCTCGACTTATAACAGTTCATTTAGCGACCTTTTGAAGTTACAATGCCACTGAAAAAAGTGACTTACAACCTTTTCAGCTTCCCCATTATCATGTGTTCAAAATTCAGATGCTTGGCAGCTGGTTCATATTTATGACTGTTGCAGGGTCCCGGGGTCATGTATTCACCTTTTGTGACCTTCTGACAAACAAAGTCAATGAGGAAGCCAGATTTACTTAACAACTGAGGCAAAAAAGGTTGTAAAATGGGACAAAATTCACTTAATAAATGTATCACTTAACAACAAAAATTTTGCGCTCAATTGTGGTCGTAAGTTGAGGACTACCTACATCTATTCTGTTCCGTGTTGAGATTTTCATTAAGGCAGAGGTCCCCAAACTTTTGGGCACCAGGGACCGATGACATGGCGAGAGGTTTTTCCATGGACCGGAGAGGGTGTGGTTTTGTGTGCTGCCTGCATCCCGTGGATGGGGCTTTGTTTGTTTGTGCGGCCTGGTTGCTGGCATGCTGAGGCCCGGTACCGGTCCACTGACCAGGGGTTGGGGACCCCTGCCTTAAGGCATGAAAAACCTATAACTCTTCAAAAGCTGATTGGCTACAATTTTCATCAACCTTAGTACCATAGTTGATAGTGAAGCATAAGGGAAGTTACAGTTTCTCAATCTTAGCAACTTATCAAGATGTGGGGACCTCAACGCCCAGAATTCCCCAG